ATACATGCAGAGAAAAGGGCAGTTGCTCACAGTCATCCTGTAGCTTTATTGTAATTTAATTTTTTTGCATTTTTGTGTAAGATCGTATGAAAAAAATTTCATAGTGCCAAATTTCAGCTGCAAAAATATTTAATCAATCTTTAGTAATTGTCAGGTGATTCATTATTTCCTTTTTTTCTTTTCTTGTAGGTCTTCATTACTTCAAAAACATTGTCTTAGTTGGATCTCTGCAGGATCGTTACGTTCCTTATCACTCTGCTCGCATTGAGATGTGTAAAACAGCTTTAAAGGATAAACAATCAGGTAATAAATGTAAAATGAACAGACCACTCAAATGAAAGCTTATGGGTCTCAGATTCATCCCATATAATTCTGGGTGCATAACTGAGACGCCTCAGCTATGTCCGTAGACACCTTGGGCTTACTCTATAGCAACAGAGAGGGAAAATGAAGAGCTGAATTGTTTTCTGATTCTGTCCTGTTCTATTACACGCAATTGAGGAGTCTAAGACTCATTTACAGTTTACAAACGTGGCTGAAAGTTAGGTGGGATGAACGCAGCCCCTGATGTTTTACTCTGTGAATAGGGAGGGCAAATAACTTTGATTTTATTGGGGATGCCTAATTAGCTTCAAGGACGTGGGCGGGCTTTATTTAGTTGAGGCTTAATACTAGCAATGAATGAAAATGCTTTTTTCTATTTTCAGTGGTCATTTGTTGCTGTATTTACTGCTGGGATATCCCAGCATAGTCATGCTCTGACATTGTATATTAACAAATGAGCATCATTTACACAGGCGGTGTAATAAGTGAATACTGATAAGCACTTTTTCACTATAAATGTATAATGAATAAATACATTGTATGTAAAGTTACGTTTTTGCACAGTATCTGAGGAAATTAAGCTTCCTGTATTCAGCATTAACAGAAAAGCAGCACAATACATTCAGCGCTTTTATTCCACTACGCATTCATTTTCAGTTCAAGGTCATAGAACTGCATTCCTGGTGATTCACAGAGAACAATTTTTATTTTCCTCCACAGGACCAATTTACGCTGAAATGATCCAGAACCTGCTTCTGCCAGTTCTTCAAAATAAGGAATGTAATTTGGTTCGTTACAACGTAATTAACGCATTGCCCAATACAGCGGATTCTCTCATAGGGAGAGCTGCACACATTGCTGTTCTTGATTCAGAAATATTTTTAGAAAAATTCTTCCTTGTTGCTGCCCTGAAGTACTTTCAGTAGAGAAGAGCATCGTAAGAGACTTGGTTATTACCTCATTAACAGATGAATCAAATAATGTGTGATATTAAAGTATAGCTGCAGCTGTATTTTAAGAGATATTTATACTTTTTATATGGAAGATAATTTATATCATCCACACTTAGGGCTTTTTAACATCAACTTTACTTTCTAGGTAATGTGGCTGTGCAATATTTTTTTATTTTGTTCTTTTTACTTTTCTATTACTTTTTCTTAATTTGGGGTACCTAATTATTTGGAGATTAAAGCACAGTGTGTTCTCTGTTTGGTTTCTTATTGGCTCTTAAGACTATAGAAGTCAATATTACTTGGCTACATTTTACAAGACGCTTTAGATGCCAGAATTAATTGGGTTTAAAAGTTCTTCTGAGGTATTACACATGCAATTGTTGTATTTTAGCACTGTAGGAAGTTTAACTGGAAACAAAATGAGCTGCTAAAATACTGGATATTTGAAAACAGCTGTATCTGTGAGTCTCACTAAGACCGTTACCAAGTTGTCTGTTCGGACATCACAGCATCTTAACAATTTTCTACAAAGTCATTATCAGCATTAGTAAGTACGTTATGCCTGTGGGAATATATTTTCTACTGATCTCAAAAACACGTTAGTTTACATATTCAATTTTATTACTGGAACTTTAGTTTTCAGAAGCAAATGGCAACTAAGGATTTTTGAATGTTTAATGATAGCTGCCTTCAAATAATTGGGGTTTTGCAAACCGTATTAAAATTGCTCCTTACTCTGTCAGTTCCTCAGACGAACGCAGACTGTTTTACATGGACTTCCTTGTATGTACGTGAAAGAAGTAAATGTTACAAACTTCTGCAATACTTTTATGAATTTATTCAATTTTTAAATATTGTTCAAATGTTTTATTGACTACAAAGTATTGTAAATAGAAATGGATACATCTTCAAATGGGACGATATTGTAAACTTTACCTGTTCAGTGATGCAGATAAAATGTTTTTGATATACAGGAATGTTAAAGGTCTATTGACTTTCTACTGGTGCTGAATAGCATTGAGTTTGGTTTCACCTCCCTTCCCTTTTCTCTGTTTCAAACAAGAATTCACTAAAGGTGAGGCGGAAAAAGGTTACATGTGCATTCACTAACTGTAATAATGAACATCTTTTGAGAAACATAAATTTGTTGTATAATGCATGTTTATTTTTAGCATTGTGTTATTGCATCTGGTGTTAATAAAATGAACAAATGACTCTAATGAAAGCAATTAAAGGAACTGAAATCTTCTGCTAATTACCAGATCCTGGGGAGGCATTTTTGTATATAATTAATACTTTTGTATTATTTGAAATGAATGTAGCAATAATAGTTTGTAATGAAGTAATTTTACATTTTATATGGTTTGTTAATACAGTCTCTGTAATAACACACTTTCTTCTCTGCAGCTTACAGATTTCAGATGAGCACCTGCACTTTGGCAATGTGTACACTTCAGAGTGCTTTCTTATAGAGTTGTTTTAGGCAAGTGCTTACTACAGGAAGATATCTTATATACATTCCTATTCTAACAATATCTATTTTTATATATTTTTATATTATGGTGGTACTGCTGTGCTGTAAATATTTAAATTACATTGTGATATCTCAACTGTCTTTGTTTAACAGTGTTATTGTAGCTGACTAGTAGGTAAGTTGTTAATATCCGTTTCAAAAGATAGAGAACATAAGTATTCAGACTTTTCTGTCACTGTTGAAAAATATTTGTCTTGCTGTGCCTTTCTGGAACTGAAAAAGTGTACGTTGTGCCTTTGTGATTAGCAAAGCAGAAATATCCTGCACTGGAGCCACTTTTTAAAATATCCAAGCCCATCCATTTAAGCAGACTTGAATCCAGTCTAATGGATGGTGTAGGAAATGCTCTGATGTTTGCATGTAAACTTTTCATAGAACAGGGCAAATGTAAAGAACTTCTCTCCTCGCCTGTATTTTCCCCAGTGCAATCCATGGTCGGGTGGCCCTTTGTGTTGTAGATTTTGTGGAGGCTGATTGATAACTCAAAGCCTCAAAGGAGGGGGCCAGTATTTGTTTGCTGTACTGAGTGGTGTGATGACCCCAATGTGCCCTTGAAGCACGTAAAGTTCATATTTGCACTCATTAACTGTATGGTACTTTTGTGGTGGTTGTTTGAACAGCACATGCACTCATCCATGTTTGGAACATCTGTGCACAGCATGCTCCAGCTGCTCTTGCATGTATCTATTTTTTAGATCGAAATATGGACTTGCATACATAATTCAGTACCATGTGATCTAGAGCAGCCATGAAATGCTCCATCTCTCCTCTTCTGTTTGAGTCAGGGCTTCATCTCTCTGCAGTGCCAGCAGCCTCCCCTTTACACAGGTATCCTGCAGCCACTTGGAAGAGGATGAGGCTGCATCAGGTGCTGCTTACAGAAAGGGAGTTAACAATCAAGGACTGACATTCCTTTAGAGAGCTGCCAGTCCCTTGCTCCCTGAAAGCATTACACTGTTCCTGTTATTTCACAAAGCTCCCGGTGGTATTATCAGGAGATTACTACATGAAATGAGAACACTATATCTGAGGTTTTGTTCCCATGTAATGTGTGTAAGTTAATCCCTTGGTCTGTATTTGAGTCTTCCATCAAAATTAAACTTTCTGATCCTAGAGATGTGGAAACTAATTGGG